AGGAGAGGAGAGGAGGAAATGGAGGAGTAGAAATATTGAGTTGGGGGAACAATAAAGAAGAACAGGATGAGAGCGATCATAACAGAGGGAGCCATTATAAGTCCAAGGAGAGATCTGGCACTAGGGAGATTTCCAGAGACCTACAAGGATGACACGAACTAACAATCTAGGCAATGATGGAGAGGATAACCTAAACGCCCTTCCCCTATAATGAGACTTATGACTACTTTTTATGCCATACTTTTTATGCCTTCCTCATCCAGTGGCTGATGGAAGCAGAGGCAGACTCCCACAGATATACACTGAACCAAACTCTGGAACTTAGTTGCAGAGAGGGAGGAATGAAGATCAAAGGGATCGGTACCAGGCTTGGTTAAACCCACAGAAACAGCTGGCCTGAACAAGGGAGAGCACATCAACCCCAGACTGCTGTTTGGGAGGCCAGCATGGGACTGATCCAGACCCCTGAACATGGATGTCAATGAGGAGGCCTCTGCACTCTAGGAGGCCACTGGTAGTGGATTAGTATTTTTCCCCGCTGTAAGAAGGGACTTTGAGAGCCCATCCCACGTGAACAGATGCACTCTTGATCTGGATACATGTGGGAGGGCCTAGGCCTGGCCCAGGATGATGTGGTGGACTTTGGGGAGCCCTACCCGTCGAGAGCCCTACCCTGCATGGGGAGTGGAGAGAGAGGGAGGGAGAAGGGATTGACATGTGAAACAAGCTTGTTCCTAATTTGAATAAAAAAAAAACCAAAACCAAACAAACAAAAACCCTGCTTCTTAATAGTAAATTTGGCCATGGTATATTATTACTTCATTTGCTGCTAGACCTGATATACTACTATTTTATTCAAGACTTAGGCATCTATATTTGCATGTATGATCAGCTCCAATTTCTTATATTAATTAATTAATTTGAGACAGGGTTTTTTCCGTGACTTTGGAGGCTGTCCTGGAACTAGCTCTTGTAGACCAGGCTGGTCTTGAACTCACAGAGATCCGCCTGCCTCTGCCTCCTGAGCGCTGGGATTAAAGGCGTGTGCTACCACTGCCCAGAAAGATGTATTTATTTTTGTGTGTGCATTTATGCAAGTGCCTCAGAGACCAGAAGATATTAGAGCCCTTGGAATTGGAGTTATAGTGATTGAAAGCTGCCTGATGTGGGTGCTTGGGAATAAACCCATGTTCTCTGCAAGAACAGCAAGTCCTTTTAACTGTGGAATCACTTCTCCAACCCTGATTTTGTTCTGAAAGGAGACAGCGACTGCTTTTGCTGTTCTTCTCTTATGACAAGGATCATATAGATCTTGGACTTTTATCATAATTAACCTATAAAGCCATCTGAATTTAGTGAAAATTATAGTTCAGAACCAAAGTCAGCTCATGTTACTTATCTAGTACCTTCAGTAGTTCTCCATTCCATTCTGCACATGTCCTTAAAATGGCTATACGGCCCTATGTAAGGTCCAGCTCCACTCCCCTGCCACCTGTAAATCTCACCCATTTTGTACTCCCTCATCACGATGACCTGCCACCTCCCTTCCTGGCTGTACTTCCATCATGCCCAGCAAACTGTCTCAGAGCCTGCTCTTGATGCTCCTTCTGTCTAGAATGCTCTCCCCCAAAGTGACATAGTCTTCAGACCTCTACTCAAATGTCATTATCAGACCTTCCCTGACTTCCCTTTCTCACCACACTACCCCATTACTTCTGAACACAATCTCTTCCCTACCCATCCTTCCCAAAGCAGCAAATAAGTGCTCCATGAGGACAGAAGTTGGGGTTCATTTTTAAACTATTTTCTAGAAACCTAAAAAGTGCGTGTAACAGCTAGGATTGTAGCTCGGCTACAGAGCACAGTTCCTGGTTCAGTTCTTAGTAAAGGAAATAAACCAGAAACGGGGGTGTAATTTTCCTGGCAGCGTGTTTGCCTAGCATACATGAGGCTCTCGATTTGATCTCCAGCATCATTAAAAGAAAGAGGGGAGAAAGGAATAAAAGAGGAAAACAAACAAACCCTGTTTCTTTCTGACCTTTCTCAAATGAAATACTAGCTGTAGGAGGAAAAAGCCACTGGCCTCACTTACACAGGACTGGAGCCATGTATCCTTAGGAACAGCATGAATGAGGGAAGCTGCCCAAGTGACAAGACTATGAAAGTGGCTATGGTGGCTGAGAGGGACTCACCTCCACACTCTTCAGTGCCAGCACATTCTCTTCATTCCTCTGAGCCATTTCCACTTTGGGGGCCACACCGCAGATCCCACAGATCATGTCATTGTAGTCACGAACAGTGAGACACTCAAAAGCCCAATAGCCATTGCACAACAGCTCCTGTAGCTGGCTCAGCTCCTCTGAGGTCAGTGTCTTCTCTGGAAGGACAGCAAGAGGTCACAGAACAAGACCCCAAAGTCACCAGCATGAGCCAGAAGACAGCAAGAACAGCAATCTGCAAATGTTCTGGTGGCAACCCAGTGGGCAACTCCAATCAGAGGACAGCTGCCTTGAACTAATACCTTGAACTAGAAGCTAGTCTGAGGACTTTGATTATACTATCTAGACTAATTCTTACATGACTTTAATTCTTATGAACCAGGAGCTATTACTGTCTTCTTTTATGACCAGATAAAGAGAACAAGTTGCTCAAAATCACACTGC